AAAAGAATTTCCTTCGATCCGAGGACGCGAACAGGCCGGATTGATCGGCACGAACTGTGGTAGAAACGATAGGCGATGTAAACGTGTTATCCACGAGGAATTACGTGGATGGGGTGCAGCAAGGGGTGCTCGACGAGGGTGCCAGCACTAATTGCTCGTACAATTGTTTTCTCAGTTAAGTTACGCTCTAGCCGGCCTGATTACGAGATTATTACGCGTTCCACTCGGCTATTCCCGGTCCCGGAAAGAGAACTCGACGGTGCGCGTGTATCGTTTTGGCTCTCTCTCTCTCTCTCCCTCTCTCTAATAATTCGGTCTTCTCGCGTTTCTGAAGTAGCGTGAAAAGTGTAACAAAAGTAGCGTCGTTTCTCTACGGCGACAGCGGTATTAGATAATAAGTAGGTACTAGCATCGTAGCGGACTAGGATTTTTTACTTGTATTTTTTTTTTCTTGCTCTCTAGTATTTTATTTGTTTTAATTCGTTCACCTGGTTAATTCTTGGAATGCATGCTCTTTGCCTGTCTCGATCGTTTGACATTCTCACCCCTTTCTCTACTCACTCACTCTCTCTTCCTCACCCTCACTTTCTTCCGCACACACACTCTCAGCTCTTCCTTTCCTTTCTGTTCCGTTTCTTTTCCATACCATCGTTCCCCGTCGTAAAACTGTCGATCCAGGAGGGGGACGGTTGAAAACGAGCGGCAATCAGCGATTACCGACAAGCAACGACTCGACTATTAAATCGCAACATGCAAAAAATACGGCCGGTATGGAGCCAGCGCGATTGTTTTGGCAGAGCGACAAGTTCGACATCTTTTTCCGCTAGCACGCAGGATCTAGCGCGAAGGAACGTTTACATCTTTTCTTCGTCCTCTCTCTCTCTCTCTCTCTGTCTCGATAACTGATTCGTTTCTTGTTGCGTTTCGCCGGCTAGTGTGCTGGATGATAGATTCACTCTCTGCGTGTCAGGTAACACGCGTCGATATACTTATCATCTGGTACGATAGAAGAAGAGCAGCTTTTCTTTCCGCTGTTTCAGAGAGGGTATACGGAACGTTCTCGCTACGTTTCATCGCGTCCACACTCTTCGGGAGTGGGATCTCTCAATTAACACCGTTCTTCACATTCCCCTTACGTTCTCTCTTTTTTATCGTGCGTTTCTTCACGGTTGTCAACAACAACAACAACGTATACGCGCCGGTTTGAATTGGAACAATGGAAGTTCGAAGGATACCGTTTCTTTTCTGCCTGGATTCGCGGCCGTTGAGACGCTTAGCTGTCGGAGATCGATCGTGTGTGTGTGTTACAGTGTGTTTGTCGCGCGTTTCGAGACGCGGAATCACGCGTGTCTGTATCGAAGCGAAAACGGAGAAAGAGCGTTGTTTAAAAAGCGCTAAGAAACCGTACAAACGATCGTAGAAAGGTTGTTTTTGGCCTGCGATCTCCGACGACAAAAGCCCGATCGAGGTGAAAGCTCTTTCGTTCACTTATCTGCTCGTTTTCATTTTCCTTCCGCGGGCGACGAAAGTCTGCCGATGGGAACCGAACGGAATAACAACGCATTGGCTTTTTCGAACGTGTCTATGTTTCTCTCTGCGTAATTCACGTGCGTGTATGATCCAGTGTACGCGTGTGTACATGTGTGTTTATGTGTCCGCCGTATCTCTGTTTAGCGATTTGAACATATAAAACCACTCTCTCATCCGCGTCATTCGATCTAAAAAGGAATCGGAATTGTCGTAAACGATTACTCGATAATGTCCACTTGTAGCGATACCGTACCCGCTACCTAGCTACCTATCTACGCTCTATTTTATACGCCTCTAACAGCTACAACCGTCTAACAGAGTAGTGTTTTTTCTTTTCTCCTTTTCTTCCCTCTCTCTCCCTCTCACTCTCGCGTCGTTATCTAAATATCTTCTCGCCGCGTTCGTCGTCACATTTTTTTTTTTCTCTTTGCTCTTTAGTTTCGGTAGTAACAGTAGTAGTTGTAGTTGTATTTTAGTATTTAGTATTAGTAATAATAGTAATAGTAATAGCGGTAGTAACAGTAGTAGTAGTAGTCGTGGCGATAGTAGTAGTATCAGCAGCAGCAGCAATAGTAGTAGTAGTAGTAATAGACGTAGATAATAACAACGAAAGTAATGATCACACTACTATCGGTAGTAGTAATAATATACAACAGTAGTAGTAGTAGTAATAGTAGTAGTAGTAATAGTAGTAGTAGTAGCAGTAGTAGTAGTAGTCGTAGTACTAGTAGTGGTAGTAGTAGAATAGTAGTAATAGTAGCGATGGTGGTAGTGGTAAAGAGTAGTCGTCTTTGGTGTGTGGTAAATTTACTCGTGACAGATGTGTAGTTGCAGTAGTGATAGTAGTTATCTGCGGTAGCGGTAGTAGCGGAAGTAGCGGTAGTAGTAATAGTAATGTAGTAGTAGCAGTAGCAGTAGCAGTAGCAGTTTATTAGTGGTAAGTAGTAACAGTAGTGGTAGTAATAGTAATAGTAGTAGGTAGTAGTCGTAGGTTCGTTTAATTAATAGATTCGTTATAACAGTAGTACTAATCTCTTTAATAGTAATAAATTTATCCTCCGCGGAATTATTAATCTTCCCTTCGTCATTTTCTTTTTTTTTTTCTTTTTTTTCAACTTGTTGGAGTTAGCTAGGCTTTTGGTAGTACTTTTTTTTTTGTTTTTGATGCGCATCTTAGAACGTTTTTTTTCTTTTTTCCTTTTCTCTAACTAAAGTAGCGAGGCGAAAAGTTCAAGTATTCGTAATAAAGGCGCGTAACGTAAATCTCTGTATAATTATTGTTGTTTTTTTTTTGTTTTTCTCTCTTTTCAAACCTGTGCTCTCGCTCTCCTACGTCGTCACACATTCACACGCGACCACATTCACTCGTCGCATCTCTCTCGCGTAACAAACGGAATAATCCCCTTTCTTTCTTCTTTTGGCAGGCACTTTCGCGCTTTCGAACGATCGACACACACGTGCTCTCCACGATTTTCACATAAAAACACACGCGCACTCATGCTTCCTTTCATCTCTCGCTCTCGCTCCCTTTCGTTCTCTCTCTCTCTCTCTCTCTCTCTCTCTCTCTCGTTCAACCCTTTCTCCCTTCCTCTCTGACACGCCACAGTATCAAAGTTCTCGCTTTCGTCTAACCTTTGCTTCGTTTCGTCTAATAAAAGATAGATGAGATATCCCTCGGTAAAACTCGCATCTAAGACCTAATAAATCGAATAATGGAATCGCTTTATTATTATTATTAATTTTTTTTTTCATTTTGCTTTGCTTACTTGCGTCTTATTAATTTCTTCGTTATTTATTTAGTTTTTCATCTGGCTAGATCGCGCGTTACGATATACTCTGTATTATTATTATTATTTTTTTTTTGTTCCTTTTTTAAAGATTTACCCCTAATGTGTTCACTTCTTCTCTTTTTTTTTTTTTTTCTCGTTTGTTTCATGTTGCAACGTCAGACTTCCTTCTTCATCGTAGTCGATTAACCCGTTTCTCTCCGGGATGCGTGCGGGTCGCGTTCTGATTCTTTCCCCGTTTTTTTTTTCCTCGAATAAGACGTTTCGTTTATTTATCTCGTTTAGAATTAACATGTGTCGCCCCGTCACACCTGGCACGTACAACGGCGGCCGAAATATATTATTCAAACACGGAGAGAAAAATGGCGCGTCGCGATCGACTCGTCGTTTCGTAAAAGAGGACGCGTTTCGTGTTCGCGTTTAAATCGGACCTCGATCGAATCGAAACGTGGTGGCGTTTCGCTCGCGAAAAAAATTTGTCCGCAATATATATATATATCGTGTGCGACGATTTGCAACGCGAACAATCTTTTCTTTTCTTTCGTTTTTTGTGGCGGATCGACGAGTCCTATCGGGAACCATTTAAAAGAGACAATCGTCGAGTCGTTGGATCGCGAGAAAAACGGCCCGTTGTACGACGCGGCGGTTCGAAGGGTCGATCTATAAGCGGAAAAATGTTCGAGCACGGACAATGTTCTCGAAATAATTCGTGAATATCGTTACGCGATGCTTTTTGTATTTCACTTTTCTTTTCGTTTTATTTATTTGTATTATATGTTTTTTTTTTTTCTTTTACTGAGAATGGTAAAATGGCAGTCTTGGCGATTTTGCGATGCGCTTTCTCCACCGGGAAAGAGGCGAAACATCGAGACGACAGCGAAGAGATAGGGAAAGTGTTGTTGCTTCGCATCGAGCATCGATTGGCCTGCCAATTCGTTTTAATTCGTTTTCCACCGACTTCGAGACGCGACTTGGTTCGCAGATCTTTCTCTCCCTCTCCCCCTTGCCTTCATCTTTCCTCCCATCTTTTCTCGCATCTCTCTTTTTTCTCTCGAATTCACCCCGTTAAATGCCACTCTTTGGTCAATCATATGTGTCATTCGCCGCGTTTCTTTTTGTCAAACGAATTGTTACAACGAGGAAAAAAACAACAAGTTGAATCTGCTTTGTTCACCAAAGGCAAATAGTTGACGAAATAAAAAGATCATCGACCCTTTCGACCGTTTGAAATACTACGTTACGATTTGGCATTCGTCGAGATCGATCCCCTATTTAACGACGGAATTGAACGGTTTGGTCGAAAGGGTGTTTTACGCAAATTCGCTCGAACGAAAATACAAAAAAAAATATAAGAAAATATAACAAGTATGAGGTGAGCGTACTCGAGAGGAAGAGAAAAGAAATATTGCCAAAAAATTGTCGTCAATTCGAATCACGGAAGAAAGGTTTATACTTTTTTGTTGCTTGAACATTTCCTGACCGTCCACCTCTTTTCCCCTATAGCCTGAACACAAAATCGAATTTGCTTTCGTCTGCTCGATTAGTGAAAGAACGTTTTCGCGAATTAGCCTCGCTGATAATAATCGAAGAAAGAAAACCGAAGGAAAAAAAAAAACGAAAAAAAGGAACAACTGAAATCTCTGCGTGGTACTGCTTTCGCTACTACTCGACTTCTTCTCCCTGTGTTACGAATTCCCCCGGATTGGTCGCGCGGGCACAAAAAGGGACCGAAAACGTTCGCGGCAGCGTCCGTCCCGAGTTCGTTGAGCGTGAACACGGCGGTACGCGCCATCGGCAGACACCTTTCCGGCCATTGATCGCAACTTTCCACCCTGCCTGTCCGTTTTTTTTTTTTTTCTTTTTTCTACTCGTGCCAGCGCTGCTCGAGCAAAATACGCGCAACTCGAATTTACCCATGTATATCCGCCATCTCCTTTTCTGATCGGCAATCTCGCAAACTTGTCGCGCCACCGAGAGCCCTCCGCAACGACGCAGCGGAGTGTCCGCACTGGTTCGCTCGTAGTGATATAGGCGCGTCGAAAACCTGCCGCGGTTCGAGCTCACAGTGTTTTTCGTTCTTTTCGTCGATCTCGCTTTTTTTCCGGATTTTGCAGCGCGCGCCTCGATCGTGCACGAGCCAGAGTGATCTATTTATCGTCGCAAATCTTAGGGAACAACGGTGTCGCAAATATATCGTTTCGCCCGTGAAGCAGACAATAGTCCGTTTTGTCGAGGACACCAGTGTGGCCTAAAACTTGTAACTATAGTTCGTTCGTTGAATTTCTTTCTTTTCTCGCGAGTGTATTAGCATTTATACTCCGTGAATCGTGCAGGATCGATGAATGGCGCCTGTTTTAACTGGTAGTCGACGAGAACAACGCTACGCCTGTTCTTCAAGGTATCGTACAAACGTCAGTCCTCATTCTTGACTAAGGTTCGCAGATGCTTGTTGTGTCTCTCTCTGTGTGTGTGTACGTGTGCGTGCGTGTAAAAGTTCTACGTGGTGTATGCGTGTAGGTGTGTCGTGTGTGAGTGTGAACAAAGGTACAGCGTCACGCTCCGAGAAAACGAATTGCATTCCAAACGGTCTCTCTCTCTCTCTCTCTCTCGCGCGCGTACGTTCGAAATAGTACATAGAGCTTACTTCGAGTTAATTTGTCCTCAGTGAAAAAAACAGTCTCTCCGCTGCAAAGACACACTTGTTCTTCCGTTTCGCGCTGCTCGTGCGTTCGTACGTGGTAAAGTTACGTGTACGTGTGTATGTACGTGTGTAATAACGCTTACGGAATCATCGTTTCTTTTTTTTATTATCGGAAGTCTGTCCTCTCTGCACCGCGAGCACCATCGCCAAAGAAATTCTTCCTTCCTTGCGTTTTTTCTCTCTTCGTCTTCTCTCTCCCTCCGTCTTGTTCTCCTCTTCCGCTCGATCGTGGCTTCGTCCGTTTATTTATTTATTTTTTCTTTCGCGCAGTGTTATTTAATCATTAAAACGAATAATATTTTTATCTTCATCTCTTCTTCCTCTTTGTTTGCTCGTTTGCTTGTTTAGCGTACCTTCGCCTACGTGTTTACTCGATATAATTACATCGATAATAATTAATTAGTATTATCTGGTACGATTCCCCTGGTTTCGTCGCCGTCCAGGCCTCCCCACCGCGTTCGAACCGGCCATTATCTCATCCGGCCGGCCACGGAGAGTTCACTCGACCACTGTTTAAACGAGGGGAGGGAAGGTTCGACGACGTTTCTCTTATATACTTTTTTATTTCATTTTTTTTTGTTTTGCTTAACATTTTGTTCGTTCGCGAAGCCGCTGCGACGTTTATTTATCTTCTTCTTCTTCTTCTTCCCTCCTTCTCTCTTCCCCTTCGTTTCGTTTATACCGTTTTATTTGTTACTTTTTTATTTTTATTTGTTATCATTTGTATTGAACACTGGAGTCGGTGGTGTGGAGAATGGAGACTCGCGACTGAAGAAAACATCCAGCTCCATTCCCCTATTAGCACGTAGGTCCCTACGTGGGGTGCGTGTATGCGTGTACCGTGTAACACCTCCGAAGCGGCTGTCCTCGTTTTCGACGTCGACGTTTCTCGCCGAAACGCACTCTCGCCACCTCTCTTTATCCGCCCATCACGTTTCTTTCCTTTGCACACCTTTCGCCTATCCTATCTCTCTTATCTCTCTACGCCTGGTAGCCAGTAATCGTTTAACGTCCTTCCCTCGACGTGTGCTTTCCCTTTTCTTCCTCCAACTCCAACTCACTCTCTCCCTTCTCCGCCGACGATCGTAATTCTCGCGCGTCGCGCCGATGGAAGAAAAAATCATTTTGTGGCACCCATTTACAGCCGATTCTTGGTCGTTGATCATTTCTTCTCCCGTTCTCGTTCTCTCTTGTTCTGGTTGACGCGTAATAATGGATCGTGTGGAAGCACCCCTCGTATTGACAGACTATGGACAGAGGGCGGGCGAGCGGGTGGGCGGGCGCGCCTGCGCTGCCGCGTGCGATCCAAATGACAGCCGGCGCGCACGCGTACACGCGCTGATCGCTAGCGCTCGCAGCTAGCGCGACTACGACGACGTGTGAAGGAGGCCTACGTCAGGCACCGTAGGGAGCTGTAGCTGTTCTTCGACAACCGTCCCAGCATTGGCCACCACGTTGCCACCGTCTCCTTCACTGCAATCACACAGGTTACAATTAGCCTATGATTATCCTTGGACGAAATGCCTTTCGACGCGAACGTTCGGTTAGATTGTTTTGCAATTTTCTCGGAACCATCGAAATTGTGTCACTTCTGGGGCACACGACGGTATGGAAATTCTTGTTGACGTTTATTTGGATACCGAAGAAATTTGATCGGTCGCGTACATCGATGGATCTGCGAGAGCGTACACATACGCCTTTCTTCGGCGAACACGAGAGAGCGTGTGCGTACGCTTTTAGCAGCGAAAGGGTTAAATTCGACTTGGATCTAAGAGGGAAAGACTTAACCTTCTTCGAGAGATCAATCCTCCTCTTCGTGGTTTCCTAAATCAGATTCTTTATAGATTTTCACATGTCATCGGTGATTCTCTAACTCTACTACCGTAAGGAAACTCTTTCTTTTCTCCTGGTTTTGCTAATCGGTCAAGCTAATCGGATACGTACCTAGTAGTCAGACGTCAGTCTCGATGCTCATACAGGCTGGATTAATATTGTTATTATGGCGGGGGTTGCAGTTGGGCTTCTTTGTAATTTCTGGATGAGTGAGCATTATGCCCTCTTCCAGCTCCATTATGTCCGACGTCGATTCCGACATCGAGCTCTTCTTCAAGTGTTGACCTGTGAACCACACGAGACAATCATAGTTCCACGAGTGTTCAACCACCCGTCCACCGTGATGCCGGTATACACTTGTCGGTGTTACACCGCGAAGAGAAACTTGATTAAGCTCGAACACAAGAGTTGAAGAGCCTCTCTGTGAATCGGGCCCTGCGATGCGCGTATACACGTTTAGGATAATCCTGGAGAAAAGTGTGTGCTCTCGGGTAAGCTTGCCCGACGACGATCGGGAGCAGCTCTCCTCGTAGGCTATCAATTTTCCTTTAATCGTTCGCGCGTTCGACGTCTGTGAATCATCGTTCGTGATGGAAGAAGGTGTGAAAAATCGACCGGCTCACGCCTAAGCGGATTAAAGTCACACAGGGTAAACTACCGTGTCAGCAGGGGCGTAGACACGCGAGATACATCGGTAGACAGTCTCGCCGGGATTTGCCAGCCGGTCGACAACTTTCGAAACGTATACAACTGCCTGGAGGACTACCGTCATATCCTATCCCTCGTCCCCTTTCTCACTTTACTTACTGCAAATGGACATTGAAGCCTTGGGTACTTCTACCCGAGAGACCTTTTCAATTTTCGCTTTCGCAAATAGGCTTGTATATGCGTATCACCTCTTTTCTCTTTCCATCAGAGACGTACACCGACGAGAGTAATCTACACGGTTTTCTCTCGTTCTTTCTTCTTCTCTCTTTTTTTTTTTTTCTTTTTCTAATAAGAAGACAAAAGTATCTTACCGTATTGATTTTCTTCTTCGTTAGCGAGCGATTTCTGATCTCGGTGATAATCGATCAGAATGTAATCTGACGGAAAATAATGGATTACTCATTGCTACATGCACCTATGTATCGAAAGAAAATCATGCTCACTTTGAAGAATAGTGGAATATGAAAAGTACCTAGACTAAAAAAAAAGTATGGGGAAACATTCCTACACGCGACAGGAAGCTTTTCGAGCTTTCGTGACCCGTGACCGACTCCGCTGGCAAAACAACGCGTCGCGTTAACCCGTTTCGACGTATCCTTACCCTATTTTCCTCTCTCATTATTCATCTCAATTCAACACATTCTCCCACGGTTTTTCACATTGATAAATCGTTGCACCTATCATGATTTCGCTACGCTTAATCTCCCCGGTTCGACTCAATAGCCTTTTTATATATCACACATATATCACATATATATGTCCTTCCTCCGCAACACATCTTTCAACCAGCTCTGAAATTCATCGACAGGATTAAAACTCGTACCTACAGTACCAGGGAGATACGGGCAGCTGGTCACATGATTGAAGTTCTGCGACTGCATCTCTTCCTGGTCAGTCTCACGGTGATAGAAGTAGTTGAAGTTGGAGACGATGACGGGGACAGGCAGAGCGATCGTCAGCACACCGGCGATCGCGCACAAAGAGCCCACTATCTTTCCCCAGACACCCACGGGCCTGAAGCAGATGGAAACGGACACTTTGATTTGCGGTCAACCGCTGGCTTGTACGTCGATAGCTTCGTTCCTCGTCTAGTGAGACTCGGTGCTAGGTGTGGTGTTTCTATCTTGTGTGAGTTGCCGTGTCGAGTCGAGTGTGGCGCTACTTATGCGGTACTTGGAGGCTCCTATAGATACCCACGGACACCGTGTGCGAGCGTTCTCAAATAGAGATTAGTCATGATCGGTTTCCAAGCGGAACGTCTCCTCATCCCTAACCGTTTCCCTCTTCTTCCTCCTTTTTTTTTTGCTCTTTCCTTTACCATCTTCTCTTTTACACCAAATCGTGTCCCTTAATCGTTCCGCGTTCCACGTACGCGATTTCCTTCCTCACTGTTCAACCCTTTAGCTACCAACTTTCGCGACGCTTTCAGTCTGTTGCGTTTTATCTACAACATTTCTACTTTTTTCTTTTCTCTTTTTTTTTTTTACGGGAGCTTGCATTTAACCGAGGATCAGAATAATTCTTTTATGAAAGATTTATCGCTTGTTTGAACAAAGCTGGAAATTCCTATGAGCGACGATAAATTTGGATTAACGTAACGCAATTTTTTCGTTCTTTTTTTTTTTTTTTTGCTAGACTGACAGGACGTAGGACGTACTGTGAAATATCGCACAGTTGAGATAGAATTCTACCGAGAAGGTATGTCGCTTTTGCGACGAGAGTGAACTTTTCTACGGGGTGTTTGGTACTTGTTTTTTTCTTCGGGAAAGATGAGTAGCTAGAGGATTAGAACGGCTCGAAATCTACACTTGTCGAAACTGCACAAAACTAACCTCTATTTATAGAACGCCGCGTGGCCGTGTATACTTATAGGGTTTCGCGTGTCTAATAAGAAGCGGGCTCTCTAGGCTAGACTAGGGGACTAACGTGACTCTCTAAAAAAAAGGCTCCTCGTTCGTGTGCCGATGCACCGTTCCAAACAAGCGCGTGCCATTCCGTTGCTCAAGATCCGATCGAGAACCTCTTTCTCTAAAACGGGTACGACATGCAATTTCTCTACGTTTTTCTCTTTTTTGAAAAGTGAACAACAACGATCTATCCGATCGGGACGTTATCTTTTATTCAGCCGATTGAACTGAAGAAAAAAAACTCGAAAAAAAAAAAAACGATGCATCGTCGTTTCACCGATGGATGCAGCCGGTCTCGTGTGTAAAATCGGGGTTCTTCGTTTGATATTCTCTCACGGACGATCGTCGAAATCCATCCGATGTGATACACGACACCGAAACACCATGCAAAAAAGGAGAAAAAAAAAAAAAAAGAAGAAAAAACCGTTGTGGAGAATCGGTCGAGCTAATGAGCAATTAAGGGACGATTCTGGCCGAGTGTGGCGGAGATGATGTACCCGCGAGAGTAATTCCAAGCGGTGTGAGCCGACGTGCAGGCCAGAGAGATGATTAAGAGAAGCGCGTCTCGTCGAATTGAAAGCCGTGTCGACCACTTCAATCCTCGTACCGTTTCGCATCTCTACAGGAACCAATGGTTACCTGATGAAAGTTCACGCGGAACCACCGTTCTCGTCGTTATCGCTCCCACATTAGCGTATACACGCGTTGCGCGAAACAACAACAACAAGCTCGATATGCAAATTTCCTCGAACCCGTTCACACGCCAGGGGAATAACTATCCTCGCTCCTTTTCATCCCCCTATGTACAGATGCCAATTGAAACCAGCTCTTTCCTTTTCACTTCTGTTCTGCAAACGCGTCGCGATGGAAAAAGGCTTTCTCCTTTTCTCAATTACCGTACACGAGCAGATTACAGAGGGGACGGAGCGACGCTTGGCTGTGTCCCCCGGACTAATCCGCGTACGCGGTGCGGCATTCTTTTGCGGCCGAGTCTAATTGAATAATTGTGGCGGTGTGCACGCGCGACAACAATACCCCGCGAGAGATCAAAGGCGGGGGCGAAGAATTCACCGCTCTCTCTCTCTCTCACAGTTCTCGAATGAATGAACGCCTCGAGATTTTAACGCGGAATCCTCTACACAGGCGAGGCTTCTTTTCTCTGTTTCTTCGTTTTCGCACGGAGAGGAAGAGAGGCAAGTAGATCCTTCGACCGGCGCCTTCGACTTCGTCGTCGGCCAATCTCGATAGACAATACGCGACAGTGTGACGTTCTCTATCGTTATTGGTGTAGTCGATTGTTGAATTGAATTAGTTGCAAAAAAGAGAATCATTCTTAAATGCAGGTGTCACTGTACTATGGGCCTTTGTGATCCATGACTGATGGTGGTAGCAGTGATGACAGCGTTTTTTGTGAGCGAGAAAAATTCAAGTGGTATTGTTTGTTTTTTTTTTCTTTTTTTTTTGTTCAAAGGAGCAAGAAACGTTAACGTGTAATTATTTTTTTCTTTAGGATCGGTATCAGTGGAGACAGAGATAATAAATATGTTGTTTGATCGCGAACAAACATGCAGTATCTTTGAGCTAATTACAGCCTGGACATAAAAAGGGGGTGTGGAGTAATAAAATTAGGTTATCGCGCGGTTTCGTTCGCCGAGATACAGAATCCGGAATTCCGCGCGGAAAATTTCACGTTGTCTTACGATCGGAGAGCCTGGGGTTTCCGAAACTGCGATCAATCGCGGTAACGGGATGCGAGAGTCGACGTAACGGAATGCGACGTAGCCGAGGGCGGAACACTTTGAAAGTTACGCTTCGATAGGGGGGGAACTGGTTACGCGAGAAACGGGCTTCGATAGAGGAAGCGAGTGACGCCGGTCTCTCGACAAAGGAGTCGAGCTCGATGCGTGTATCGTAATGGGAAACTGGAACGGGCCTCTTGCGTGCGCTGCTGTCTATGAACGCTCTTATACTGGGTGTCTCGTCCAATTCAGCGACTTCATACACCCTGATTTAACATCTTCCTGACAGATAACGTAAGAGAGAGATTTTTCTTTTCTTTCGTTACTCCTTCGATTCTCCTTCAATATCTCGTCGATACTTTGCAGACATTACATACAGGGTGTCTCAGTTATCCTCCGGTCGAACTTTGTCGGTATCTTCTGCGGGTATAGGCGAGGTGAAGATGTCGTACGGACGTGTATGCAGATTCGTTAAAAAGTTGCAAGAAAAACAACCAACTTGCGGTTGCTGTTGGATACGAGATGAGACGTGTTTCACGGACCCGAGATAGTGATCCATCCTTATTCTCGCATCCTAACCTCGAATCCGTTTCGCATTATCGCCGTAACTTTTTAACGAAGCCTCCAACGACCTACGTTTATACCACATTTTTGTCTCACCTGTACGCGTAGAATATGCTGGCAAAGTTTGATCGGAATCAACTGGGACACCCTGTATGTAGCTTTTAACTCAAACTATCGTGTGCTGTTAATATTCCCTGTGAATCTTCGACGGTAATACCTTTCGTCGTAGTTTCGTAACCAAGTGACTTATGGTTTAAATATGAAATGTGTTCTTGCAGAGAGTAAACCTCGAGTATCTCTCCTGGATACGATAAAAAATACAAACTCTGAAGGCAATTATCGTCCTTTTTCTTTCATTCTTTCTCTTTTTGCTTCCTTTGTAAATTCAAAGTCTCCTCTGGACGTTCGAAACGACGTGATCTTAAACGTGAAGGAAAAGTCTTGTTTCTCTCCTCGAAAGAGAATGCATTAGGAAGACCGGAGAGTAGCAATGCCAAAAGTGGCACACCCTGTATGCATTCACGGTGCAACGATACACAGACACGGTATTTATATACGAGAATAATCAGTAGACGCTTCGGTTTCGTTCCCATTTGCTCGGTGGAATTTCAATGAGACGAACGTGTTCCGGCTACTTTGTGCCAGTACCTCGTCGTCAACGTCAAACCTAACCAGCTAGCCCAACCTTAGACTCTAATTTTCGAAAAGGACCTACGGTTTCGTAACGGTTCCAATAATAGACGCATATGTATATATAAGTAAACTAACCCTAGCCCAATTACGGTTCTATGCAGCTCTCGTAGATTACTCCACCAGATGTAACAGACAATTCCCATCGCGAATACTACCGCTACTCTATCTAATTTCTACCGTTGAAACGTCGCGCAGCGTTTCTGTACGAATAAACGAGTTCGTTATACCCTGCTGTCTCGGCGGTGGTTTTGCTTCTTTTTACCAACGCATTTATCCGTTCGACGATCCGAATCGTCGCGATCTTCTCGGTCCTTCTCCACCGGAGGGCGTTTCCAAGAAACGAACCAGTGCCGGTTGCCCGAGGACACTTATTGATTTACGGGAGGCAATTGCTCAAGAAGCCCCTTTGGCCGCAACACCAGAGATCTCAAGTCTCTCTCTCGACGGTTGCTCTTGAATCTCGAGGGTCTACCCGCGAAACTACCCCGTCGATATTATAATCGCACTCTGTATATGCCCACCAGAGTGCTGGTAATCCGTGACAACCTTACCTGTAATTTAAACTATCACAGTTCTCCTCCCCGGTGGTCGTTATCCCTTTCTACTCGTTCCTTCGGACCAACCCCTCTCAACAGTGATTACAATCCTCTTCCTTTTTTATATCGCTACGCGGTATCTCGTTCGATACGGCGGGATGGAGAATCATCGAATTCCCCATCGGGAAGGAAGGAAGAGAGATGAAAAAATATATATAACAGAACTGTCTATTTCTATTTCTATTTCTATGAAGTATGTTTGAATATTCATGAATGGTGTGCGTGAAACACCATCGCGAAGATCATGCTCTCTAAATAGGCGCAACAAGTGTAGGGTAGAATATTTCTTCTTTCTTTCTTTTTTTTTTCTTTCTTTTTTTTTTTTTTCGTTTGGCAAAATGGAACAGATGCGAAAGGAATAAAATTACAAAAGCGTTAGGGAAGTAGTCGTAACGGAGCACATTTTCTTCGTGACTCGAATTCTCCGGTATAATTGAGTTGTAACGTCACTTTGGCTCGTGCATTCCGCCGTTCTCGCATTCCCCGGTCCTCAATTATTCTTCCAAAGGCCAATTAAGCGCGTTAAGCGTGGCGCTCGCTCAATTGGGGGACGTTTCAATTCGCGGTGTCCCCAGAGAGAGGTGTGGCGTTTTTGTCTTTTTTTTTTCCCCGGTTCTTTTTTTCTTTTTTCTTTTTTTTTT